ACGAGCTGCACCAAAGCCCCCACTGGAAAAAGCTCTTCAGTCAGTTGTCATGAGCCCATAGACAACACAGCAGAGACAGCAAAGAATCTTTGGCAAGGACAAGCACACCTGGAATACCTACACAACTAAGCTGAAGCATTGCAGGAAACCCTCGGGGAAGCAGCAGCACTGCAGATCAGGAATGAGAGCTCAAAAGCCACGTCCTGCTCTTTGGGACTGCGGGTGCTCTCCTCACGAGGCGCAGCACAGACAGGACACAGGTGACTGACCAACAAGCCAGGCAATGACCTGAGGCCACTGTGCTGGGCCAAGGCCACGAGCCGCAGCGGGGACAACACCAAAGCCGCGGTGGAGGCTCAGCAGAGAACAGCTATGGCTTCAGCAAAGCAGCAGAGGCAGATCTGAAGGGAACGATGAGAAAAGAGCACACAGCCAGCATACAGCCATAGCTGCTGCTGAAACCAGGAGAAGGCAGGAAAAGCCCCAGCAAGCAGATGGATCAACTCAGAGAAGAGGACTAGGAAACCTAAGACAGCCAAGTGGATCAGGGCAGAAGCCACATGCCCAAGAGGGCTGTGTCCGAGTCAAACACTGGAACGCTGGCTTTAACTTGTCTGTTACTACTTGTATGAGATCATGTTTCTAGTAGCTATTAAAAAACAAGTCACAACAACTTAGAAGGAAATTGGAGAGAAAAGCACAAAATACAGGACCGGAGAAAGCACAGGATGTCCTCTGAAAGAGTTGCAGTGGCAACATTTTTGTAAATAACTCCCAGAAACCAACAGGTTTTTTCCAAGCCAGGCAGTACTACGAGCCAGCAAACAACCATGGTGCAAGCTGGACAACCTTGACTTCCTGGAGATCATACATGGCATGTCCAGCCTGCCCAGGACATTGGGAAGAGCAGTCAGCAGAAATCCAAGAAATGAGCAATAGCCTGCAATCTCATTTAGCCTCAATCTTATTCACACTGCTCTCATATTCTCTATACCCATGGACTGAAACTCAGACCCAAGAAGAAAAGTCACCTGCACACAAGAGTCTCCAGTCTGGGCTCTGAGCACTCCATTACACCCACCTAAGAGAAAATAAACCCCTGCACTGCTTACTCCCCGTGTGGACTCCACACTCCTTGCCCCTGCTGCGCCCCAATCAGCATTCTGGAGATGCATCTGCATTTCAGAAAGCATCCTGGAGTTCAGGCAGCTTTGGCACAGTAAGCACTGTGCCCAGCCTCAGTCAGGAGAGCTGCTAGGTGTTTCACTTCGCAGCAGGCTGCCAGCATCAGCCCTGAAGGCTGCCACGGCTCAGACCCAGCGGGATTAGTGTTATCCATGTGCTAACGTTCACTCCCAGCACAGAAACAGCTGGTGGCTGCATGGAAGGCCTCCTGGTGACCAAACCCCTGCCATTAGCTCAGCCTTTTCTAGTCATGCACTTAATCCAGTGGGGTTTGCTCTGCTCCACCCCCTCCTCCCAGAGAGCAAGACTGAGCTCATTCCTCTGGCCGAGCGAGGAAGTGACCTCTTCCTTCTTTACCTTTTCCACAGCCATTCACTGCTCAAGTCCTCTTGCAGCCCGCCCAGGGACTGAGACACAATGACCTCCAGTGGCAGATTCCTGCATGGATTTCTCCCTTTTATCACTAGGCTACAGGGACTGCAGCACACTTTTGTCATCGGTTTGTATTTCAAGACCCAACTTCTCCTAAGTTTCCTCTCCTCACAAATGGTTACAGCTTTCATTTTTCTAGGTGAACGAACACAGCTAACATTGCACCAATGGGTTTAAATATATTTTAAAGCAAATAAATAACTTCCATTGGCAATGAATCTGGGCCAATGGCATCAGAACACCGCAGAGCAAAATCTAAAACCAGGGCTGCCTTCCTTCTCCATTATTTACCAGCACACTTCAGACCTACAAAACAGCACATCCATTTTAACAAATGCCTCTTCCCAGGCTCCTGAAGGCATGGGGAGAAATCAATATTTTAAAGACAAAAAGAGTGGAGGTAAGAGTGATTTATTTACTCACAGTCAAGCAGAGAGTCTAAAAAACCAGCTGGAAAAAACCACCTGGTGTCCCATGCACTTGGGTATGCTGAAACCTCTTGGCAAGAGCACTTGCACACTGTGTTTTCCTAAGATATACCTCAGTACATGCAGACTTCTCTGGTCTGTGCATAACAGTTCGCAGTGAGTTTCTCTTGGGTCATTTTTATTTCACAAAGAGATTCCCGAGTATCTAATTACTAGAAAAAGAACAGAATCAATGCAATACTTACCATACTTATATACAATTCCATTATTACAAAGTCTGCTTAAATAAACACAAAACAGTACTAGTAAGTAACTGGCACCAAATGATAGAAAATTAGGTTCCACCTACAAAACTGGTAGCTGTTTTAAGAAGCATCTAGAGATGAGAATATGAACTTCAGTAAACTTAGGAGACAACTTAAAATCCACTACACAGAAAACAGCCACAAGGAGTGAGAATAAAATGAGGCAATATTAAGACCACTGCTCACACGGGTACTTGCATCACAATTAAAACCCTGCTAATCAGTACTTCAATCTGTTTTCTAACTGGGGGAAAAAAAAAAAAAAAAAAAAACAGCATCCCAATTTTGTTTCCTGATCTTGTTTTAAACAAGCAAGCATTCCTAGGCAATTCCATCAGAGCATCTCTTACCCATGGGAAGAGAAAGGGACACAACACCCAAAGGCTGAAAAACAATCCTCACCAAACAGCAGACACCAGCTGAGAAACTTTTCGCATCTCTAAAAGGCAAAAGCCACCACAACAACCCTGGTTTGTGGCAGCCTGGGAATAGATTAAGCAAAGGAAATACTGACAGGTTCAGAAGGCTGAGGTGCTGCTGGAGCTGAGGCACGGGCAGACCAGTCTCAGGCCATCTCTGCTGCTGTCTGTGCTGTGTCTGCCCTACATACAGACAACTGCAGCTTCGTGTGCTCCAGGCCAGCCACTCGCAGCTCCCCCAGGAGCTTGGGGGCCAGTGGGGTGTGTGTTTGGGGTTTGCTATTGTTTTTTTTTATCTCTGCAGCAATTAAAAACGTTCTTATAATTGGTCAGGACTTCGCTCCTTCCAACCCAAACTTGGCAGGCAGAGATTTTGTAAAGCTTTCTGGAACGGGCTGCAGATAACCTGCCACAGAATTTCTGTGTGCTCTCTGTGATGGGTTTCAAAAGAAGTCTTTATTAGAACTCAGACATGTTTACTTCCTTGCAACGAGCACTGTCATTCCAATTCCTGTAATTAAATCCCCAATTTTGACAGCTGAAACTGTAGAAATAATTGCACTGTTAGTCAAAATAAGTTGTTACTGCTCAGACTCTTGCCAAGAATGCTTTAAAAGCTTGTACTATGTGTTTCAAGTAAATCTGAACTGAATCTTCATCCATTCCACCTCACTTCCTTTCTGGAGCAAAGATCTCAAAATCTTTCCTTTTACTGTGCAACCTTCAAGTCCTGCACAAGAATTTCTGCCAGACTGCTGCTACTTTCCATACAACATCAATATTATACAACGCTCTTGTGCTCAGCACTGTCACACACACGATGCTCTTTATGTAATCCTGTGTCTCTCTCCCATGAGTTCATTTCCCACACATGAAAAAAAAACATGAAGTCAGTCAGTTTCTCAGAAATCTCAGAGAAATCTTTTACATCCAATACACCTATTGCACCAGTATTACAAAAGAGCAACCCACAGTATTACTTCTTTTATGAGACAAGAAGCCAACATTATTAAGCACTAAAAAGTCTTTCCAACCACTTTTATTTTTCAGCCAATGGTTAGGGAATGCCAGCACAACTCCAGCCATAAAGGAAGAAATCTCATCTCCAACAATCAAGTAGCAGGAGCACCACGGCAGACAATAAAGAGCTTCACAGTAAAATTTTGCCTTCAAAAGCCAGCTGTGCACTCAGAAGTGTTTAAAGCAGAACAAGGCAGCTCATAAAACCCAGCACTTGAGATGGGCAACCTGAAGTTTGTTTTCTGCACCTGGAACAAGAGGCTCAGGCAGCAGCTACTCCACACAGCTCTCCACTTCTTACTCCAAGCAGGTGAGACTGAAAAACCTACTTCCAACAGTGCAGGACCTGGGATAAGCACCCAGAAGGCTCAGTGAACACATGGAGCAGCTGGAACAAAGGCAGGAAGCCACCTCTCACATCCCTAATGCGATTATGGGATGGTTTAGCAACTCGTCATTCACAGATGGAGGCAATTTGCAAAATGCCCTTCTGCCAGGGCAGTGCCTAGCAAGCAAACATATTCCTCTCCAGGAGAGGAGGACTGACCAGCAACAAACACAGCACTGTTTTTGGAAGAGCTAAAAAAAAATGGGTAAAAACACCCCAAACGTGCTAGGTAACAAAAAGCCTGGAATATCCTGGTTTGCAGTGCATAACAGAAGCAGATATAAAAATTCACTTGCTATATACGGAATTTCAGTCACATTTGGATTTAATTCAGTGTATTCTACAAAGAACTTGTCCTATGAAAAGCATCAGAAAACATTTTTGCGTACCTTAAACCATAAAATTCCAGGTTACAATAAAATGCCCTCAGCAGCAAAAATGGGTTTTACCTTTTACTTTCTGGGAACAACAAAACATCCATTACAAATTCATGAGGCTAAAGAAACAATGAAGAGATCTAAAAATCAGCTACCTCCTTCAAAATCAAACAGCAGTTGGGCACAAAATAAATTAACAACACCTACAAAATACTCTAGAACTCATTGGTCTGATCAAAATCTGACACAGCATTTGGCAAAGCTCAGAATCCTTGTCTCTTCAGAATCTGTGCATGTCACTTCACATAATACCAAACAGACGTACCAATTTATTTAATAATTCCCCTATTCCCAAAGTTTATTTGTTCCTCACAACCAAACCACCAGGACAGAGCTGTGCCTCTCCAGAGGCCTCCTATAAAAGAAGGAAGAAGCTGCACTTGGATGGCAGAGAAGTTTGGAATGGTTTGACTCTGTCTGCACTTCAAAGAGGATTACAACGTGCTCAAAAATTCCTTGACCTGCAAAGAGAAACAAATATTGTCAATCACACTAAGTGTTTACCAACAGAAACAGGCAGCAAGTATATTTACCTCTCCTCTGCTTTATGCTTTGCTACAACCTAAAGAAACAGGGAAAAAGCAGCTCTGGCTCAGCCGTGCCATTACCTGTGCATCAAGAACATCTCCAGACATGGTACCTGTAATTCAGCAGATGCAGGGAGAGACAGGATGGAAGGATGCTCACCCCTCCTGCGGCCCTGAACTAGAGCCCTCTGTCACCAAGGACTGCATTGCAAGCAGCTGTCACCCAGACAGCAGGAGGATAATGGCCACCTGGAAAGAGCTGTCACTTGGAATCCAGGGAGTCACGCCCACTGCCTGCACACCAGCCGGATTTAACGCTGGGAACAACCCAGGGCACCTAACCAGGCTGTCCCTTGGAACCTGAGGCTGGCCAAGAAATAACCAAGCAATACCTCCCAAAACCACACTGCTCGGAGAGAATCCAGTACTGGGGATCAGTGCCAAGCTCACAACTCCTGCCTTCAAGTTTCAGGAACATCCTAGGAACTAGGCTGTGATAGAGCCTGAACTGGGAGCATTTTCCTCTGTGCACTCAAGCCAGGCTACTCCACAAAAGGAACCATTTTCTAGAGGACATGAAGCCATTCTTTTGGCAAAGGCTCTCCTACACAGAGAGCATCTGTAAACGTTTTGTCCGGTCTCTTGAGGTGAAATGGAAACAGATCTTGGATCACACTCTCCAACTGTGACCCTTCCCTTCCCAGGTCAGGGCTCAAAGAGGTGGGGAAAAAAGGAAGAGGTCAAATCCCTTCCTCTAGAGAAGGGAACACGTAACTGTGCCAAGACTAACTTGAAAGGCACCACGAGAAAGCCAAGCTCTACTTCAGAGAGCAGCACCAGTAATCCTGCATGGAAAACCTTGTCAGGATTTACACACCAGGCACAGTTTCAGGATGAGCATCACAGCAGAGGGTAGAAGCAGGGACACAGGGTCTGGGTCCCCACACAGCACACACCAAAGCCCAATGTACCCAGCCTCATCAAGTGTATCTCTTCCCTGGCTCCGTTTAGGAAATGCCAAAAATTAGGGCCTGCAGTTGCCAGATAACCTGATGGCTACCCCAGAGAAAACTCCTGCAAAATCCATACTAAGTTGCCCGAGCTTGGCCTTATCTCATCTTGTGCAGATGGGAAGCAGGCTCCCTCCACAGCTGCCATCTCCGGTCATTCCATCGATTCACAAGCTCAACCAGGAAGCCTGGTTTTAATCAGGAGAACATTTCCACTCCTAGGTGGATCAATGGAAATCAAAGGACAAAGCTGCTTTTCTTGTGAAGGAACACGTTATTTCTGAAGCATGGAAAAACGTGTGCAAACCACTGCTGAGGTCTCCAAGTCATTGCAGCTACTCAGATCAAAGTCAAGTTGTCCTGGCTTGACTCCCACTGGGATTCAGGGACCGAACACCTGAGCAGTTAAATGACAAAGGCTTGGCCTAGCTTTAAAATATGCATTGCCACAGGCTGTAAAGCTGTTCCTTACCCGAATGCAACCCTGTGACTTAGATATTTGAGAAGGATGATTAGAGTGTAAAGTGTATTTCTAGAGCAACGTGACTCATCAGTTTGTGCTGCTTGTGAAATTTTACCTTTTCGATCATGTGATCATATTTGTCCTTTTTGCCCTTGAAGTCTTCGTTAACATCGAGCGTTAAAATCGGAATTTCCTGCAGATAGTCAAAATCTGTTCTGTATTGGGAGAGGAACAAAGCAAATATTAGTAGCTGGAAATAAAGCAGAGAGCATTCAAATCCCTGCATTTTCATTGCTAAGAATCCCCCAAGAAGAACTGCATCTATAAATTACAGCCAGGAATTCCGAATTTACAGCGTGGCTCCTGGGATACACCAGAGATTCCCAGACATCCTGCTCCCCCAGCACCTCATGGAATAACAGCACTCTGTGTGTTAAAGCCACTTCAGCTGAAGCCTCTGCTGCTGAGCTCTGCGTGAAGAGAACTTGGAGCACGCTGCAATAATGAACATGCTGGAAAACCACTACTGCCAAGGGAAAACCCACAGAACCCTGCAGCTCCCATTTACACATCATAAAAAAAGCTGAAGTTTCAGTGCTCCACGGAACATCCTTACAAAGATTGATCCATCCTCAACAAACCCTACCGCAGTGTCCTGTGCTGGAGCCAGCTCTCATGCTTGTAGTGAAGCTTCTCCAGATATTCGATGGGGATTTCTTGTTCCTCATCTCTTCCACGCAAGTAAATCCTATTCAAGCATTTCTAAAGGCAAAAGATAGTCAATAAAAATAAGTAAATTGCTGTATTGCATGCCAAGAGCACAGAAATATCCAAATTTAAAACAAGCAAATGTTTGAAATCATTTGTTCCCACCCTGAATGCACCTAAAGCCACAACAAGAAGCCAAAACTGCTTAAGTATTGCACTTGGTAATTTAAATATACCTTCTTTTCTTAAACACAAAAACAAAAAGCCCCAAGAGTTACTCCAGTGTGTTACATTCCACTGTTTTTTACAACCATAACAAAACTGAAGGCATGGAAGCGAGGAAATATCAAAGTGACCCCTAAGTTCATTAGAGCTCTTTTAACCTCATGTTTTTCTGTGGTTCAAGCAAATTTCACACTCAAAGGAGGTATTATTCTGTTCTTTCCTTTTAAACAAATATTAGATGGCCCAGGATCAAAGCACAGTCACAAGGCCTCGCATACAGTGCTTTCACCTGGCCTAGCTCCAGCACCCCAGGTGTAGGGGCTTCACAGACCATCCCCGCATCAGCTCCACCAGGACTGCAAACTGTTGTATCCATTCCCTGTACAGCTACAATCCCGATGTAACAGCTGTTCCTAGAGGGATTTTGTACTTTCCTGCAGTCGCTCGCTTTATTCCAGCGGTATTTTCTGGTTTACTGTTCTCATGCATTCTGCTTTTAAAATGAGAAAATCATTACCACCACGGCTGACTTTAGCACACACAGTCAACATTTGAAAGAGATTTTTTTGTTTAAGTACTTCCAGACCTAGTCACACTCAGGTACTGCAGCCTCCAGGGGAGCAGCCCAGCCCCAGCTGAGCTCCAACCACGAGGGGCAAGGCCCAGAACACAAACTTGTTTTTTGGTGCCGTCACATTCGTGCCCCTCACCTCAGGAGTGGCTCGGAGATAAATGATCCCATCCAGCGCCAGCCTCGAGCCAAACTGTTTATTCATCCAGTCGTGCCAGTCCTGGTAAATGGTCCACTCGGTCTCGTTCATGCAGTCAGACTCGTATAAATTCGCAGCAAAGATGTACCTGTGGACATGGAAGCGATGGAAACAAAACTTCTCTCAGGAATTGGTCTGCCTCAAGCACAGTAGCTGGAGAAGAACTGAGTGGTGACACTGCAGCATCCCTGAGGATCTCCTGGAGCTGCGTGCATGAAGCCCACCAACATTTGCAGCAACAACCCTCAGAACACAGCTGGCTTGTACACCAGGTCATTTATTTACAATAAATTAAAACACATTAACTTTTGCAACATACTGCAACAGGGGGAACACCTAAGGATTACGGGCTGGGATTCGGTTATCAGGTCTCACCTTCTGAATCCAGAAACGCAGGACGGGGCATTTTTTTGTCGGCCACAAACTAAAACACGAGAAGCTCCACCTCAACATGAGCAAGAGCTTCTTTCCCACGAGGGCGGCCAAGCAGCGGCACAGCCGCTTTGGGAAGTCACGGAGTCTCCCCTCTGGAAGCATTTCAACCACCCCTCAGGGGTTGACCCTGCCCGGGCTGGGGGCTCGGACCGCAGGGCTCCCCTTCCAACGCCACGCACGTCCCGCGCTTTGAGCCGGGAGGCTTTTCCCCTGGAGGGTACCTGTCGCTGTAGACGGAGCGCTCGAAGAACACGGCGGGCTCCCGCGCCTCACGGAGCTTGCCCAGGGCGGCCAGCTGGGCGCGGACGCGGCTGAGGCACGCGTACGTCTGGAAGGTGAAGGCCCAGCGCTCCGGCTTCTCGTACATCATGCGCAGCACGTTCCCGCCGCTCCGCTGCGACGCGCTCAGCTCCTGCGGGAAAAGAGCGCCGTGCTGCCCGAGCCTGGAAAACGTGCGCCCGGCGAGGCTTGCGCCGAGTCCACCGAAACGCACACGGCCAGGCCTAACAAAAGACCCCCGGCCCCTCAAAAGCCACCTGCGTGGGAAGCAGGATTGCCAATGGAATCGCAGTAAAAATAAATCCCACCGCTAACACCGAGCGAGCGGCAGCTCTCGCCTTCCTAAGACTTTTCATGGCACAGGAAGAAGCCTCTGCACTCAGCTGGTCGCTTCACAGTGGCTACAAGTAACCCTTTAGCACTTCCAGAAATGGCACCCTAGAGGAGCTCAGACCTTGTGAAAGCAATCAGCAAAATCGCTGCTATCACACAGAGGCTGAGAAAACAGCCAGGCAGCTGGACGCACCGCTGTGCTGAAATCAGAGGTGCGTTGGACTGTTTCCCCCCTCTTTTACCTCAGAGTCGTCTCCAGAGCTTTGCTGGACATTGCACCATCTAGCTACGGGCTCGGGAACCACTTCCCACTCCTCACTGGCTTGTTTCAGGACGTTCACAAAGGTGGATTTCCCTGCAGCTGTGGGAAAAGCATCCAGGAACAAGGTCAGGGTGAGAAACCACCCACGGCAGTGTTGTTTAACCACTGCCTTGCACCCCCATAAACCCATCTCCCACACCCACCACGAGCCAGATCAATTCATGGAGCAACAGGGTTTCTCTTCATCTGAGTTTAAGCAGGTTGGACAACAGGCACCTGGTGATATTTCGAGGTGTGCTGTGCAGGGCCAGGAGTGGGACTCAGAGATCCTTATGGAGCCCTCCCAACTGGGGAAATGCTGTCATTCTGGGTGTTTTACGCCACAAACGGGAAAGACGTGGGGAAAAGCTCATCCCGGACTCCCACACCAAATCTTGTGGAAGCATGCATCCCTGTTGTCCCGCTCTGCCCTAGTGGGAGGAGCCCTCACGCAAGGGAAAGGGGGAAAAGTGGGAAAAGGGCAAAGAGGGATGGAAGGGAAGAGGTAAGGAACAAGCGGAAAAGAAGAGAAAAAACAAGCAGGCAGTGAAGAGCCCGCAGAGCTGTGCCTCCCCCAGACACGGCCGAAAGCACCGAGCGCCGCCTCTCCCTCCAGCCCCGGCCAACTCCGCCGCTTCCCCACCCCGCATCCCCGCGTAGGCGGGAGGCGTCGACTCACCGATGTTGCCCTCCACGGCGATCTTCTTGAGGCGGCCGTCGGGCCTGGGGCGCTTGGGCGGGGTGGCCATGGCGGCCTGAGGGGGCGCCTGAGGGGGCGCGAGCCCGGCCCGGCCCCGCGCGCGCCGCCTTCAAATTTGGCGCGCGCGCGCGGGCTCGCGCCCGCGGGCAGGCCAGAGCAGCGGCGCGCCGAGCGCATCGATGGCGCCGGTGGGGGGGGGGAGCCGCTGCTCCCGCCGGAGAAAAGGGAACGGGAAAAGGGGACAAAGCCAACCCCCTCCCCCGGGCACAGATCGCCTTCCAAACTCCTCCTGGAAATGCCAGGGAATGGCCCGGCACCGGCACGAGAGCTGGCCGTAAAGGGGACAGGCGGCACTTGGATTCAGAGGGCTGTTAGCGATAATCACTGGGAATGCATAGCCAGCTTTGGGAGGGAGCTGTGGAATTCCTGACTTCGGGAAGGAGCTGTTCCCTGGCAGGGTGGGCAGGCCCTGGCACAGGGTGCCCACGGAAGCTGTGCCTGTCCCTGGCAGTGCCCAAGGCCAGGCTGGACAGGGCCTGGAGCAGCCTGGGATGGTGGGAGGTGTCCCTGCCATGGGATGGGCTCTAAGGCTCCTTCCAAACCAAACCATTTTGGGATTCTGTGAAAGCCTGTAACCTCCCCAACAGACAGCAAACCCAAGGAGAACCAAGCTAAAGAGGGAAAAATCCTGAGCCCAGGGGGATGGGCACCAGCAGGAGGGCACTTACAGCCCCGGATTGGTGTAAAAAATCCAAGTAAAAGTCACATTTCAACCCCCTTGTTCCCAACTGCCCTCCAGCCACGTGTGAGAGCAACTTACCACGGGGCAGGGCACCTGAGAACCCCTGGTGGGTGGGAGGGCAGGAATGTGGAGTGCTCCAGCTGCTGGGGTCACCAGAGGCTCTCGGGAGAAGGAAAAAGCCAAAAAAAATTCACCTGTGCTGCCGGGCAGGGCCAAAAGTGGAGCCTGCTGCACCTCCAGCCAACAACATCCTTGGGTGTGTCCTGGTCACTCACTTCCAATACAGAGGGGAGGGGAAAAAAAAAATCTATGTACAAGTAGGAGACCACTGAGGAGCACGTCCAAGAAGGAAATAAAGACAGTCATGGTCAAACATAGCTATTTATTTTCTCTTATAAACAGCCTTCAGTTTCTTATTGAAAAAAAAAACAAAAAAAAAAACCCAAAAAAAACCCCTAGGATTTAAATATTTTGCCCCATCACATACAACCATCTGTATACATTATTTACAACTCTCAAATAAACACGGTGCGGGTTTTCGGACATTCAACTTGTTCTTTTTTTTTTTTTTAATCAAAATGTTTGCGTTTAGAACTGGAATCTCCATCAGTGACTACGTATTGGCACAGTTAGCTCACAGTAAGGGTTCTCTCCTTGCATTTTACACATCACACTGCCTTTTTTAGTCCCACAGATTTCAGGATTCCCAAGGAGGAGGAATGGTTAGCGTCGCTTTCGGAATTAATTTTTTTGCCTTTTACTGAAGCCTCGTTCATTTTTACTCCAACCTCGTCGGTTTTTCATTTAAACCTTTTTATTGCATGCTCCTCTCTCTGTCCCAGTGCACGTGCCTCTGCACCACACAACCACAGCATTCCCAAGCAGTCCAACAGCCACGACAATCCACGCTCCCTCCCTCCGCCACGCGGCTCGGAAAAATCGTCCCCAAGTTGCAAAGGTACAAAAATAATGAGTATAGTTCAGTGGCTATAAAAAATTAATCTCCCCTAAAAATACAATATTCTATGAACAATCTGGGGAATCGCTTCTTCCAACAAAATAAGGTTAATTGGATATTTTCCTAGGCTGCAAACTGAACCTGGCAAGAGGAAACCAGAAGAAAAAGCGGGGGGAGAAGGAGGTTTAACACTGAAAATCACCAATGTTAGTCTCGTGTTAAAAGAGAAGACACCCAGGGAAAAACGATGGGCATCCAGAAAACTGCCAGTGGTTTCAGGAGTGAGGGATTGGAAAAGAGAACAACTGCTACCAGCAGTGAAGGAAACGAGATCCGGCGCAAACGGGAATACTTCAGTGGGGGGGAAAAAAAAAAAAAGGAATCTCTGCTGGTGCTGCAGCTCCTCAGCTAATCCAACCAAAGGGGGGATGTACGGGCAGGAGAGGGCAGCAAGGAAAAACACAGCTGTCCCAAAGGATGTGTTGATAGCAACAGTGTGTCTGGTGAGCCGGGAGAAAGGAAGGGGGGCGAGAAAAAGGAAGGAACAATCTGAAAGGTTGAGTCCATAGCAGCAAATAGGTGTCCTTACCTGGTAACTGAGGGTCAGGGACACTGGGAGAGGGCTCAGCTCCCAAGGACTGAGTAAGGGCACTGCTCCTCTCCATCTCCACGGAAAAGCAGAAGTTCAAAGCTCTACATTGCATAGTAAGCAGGAAAAGAAACTGGATACTTGCAGATGGGCTGCCTGCCCCTCAGAACCTGTTCTGTCCCCTCAGCCACCTGCAGCAGCACAAGGCAGTGGTTTGGTTCCTCTTTGCTGGAGTGACTTGTATCCCTGCCTGGGACTGGAAAGACTTGGAAACACATCCCACATCCATCCACCCCTGGCTGAGCTCCGTGGGCTCGGCCCTTGGCCCCTTCCCAGCTCCAGGGAGGAGTCACCACCCGAAGCCCTGACAAGATCCGAGGTGCTGGGATTCCACAAACCACAGGAATTCGGGACCCCACCGGGCTGGAGGGCCTGGGGCAGCACTGGAAGCACAGCCTGGTTCGACCCCACGGGCACCTTTTGAGGTTTTGTCACCCCTCCAAGTCCAAAGTGGGGCCTGGAGCAGAGCAGGGTCTGCTTCTCTGGGGTTTATCTGGAGGGGCAGGGGGTGTTCCCCCCCTTTTCCTCCCATAAATGCACTATTTTATAAACACATTCACTCGATCCAGGTTCCTTTGAGTGGCATTTCCATGTGCCCTTACTCCGAGAGTGTAAACACACGTCAACTTCTGGTCCCACAGCTTTCAGAAGCAAAACAACAACGAAAAGCTGCAAAAAAGAAACAGCACGGGGATGCTAAGTCCCCACCACTGCAAACACGTCCTCAATGATGTTCTTTTCAAGTGTTGTGTAATTAAACAATGTGTTCATACAGCTGTCAGGCAAATCATGATCTCCAAGCTTTTATTACGTGCCTAGAAACTATTTGGTCTGAGATTTTCTACTGGCAGATATTGAATAAAAAAACTTAAAAAACACACTATTCACCTAGGACTCATTTTTATACATCCCAATTCTGATGGGCTGAACTGCAGCAGATGCCTCTGGAGTTCTAGAACTGGCTGCTCAGAAGAAAAAAACTGCAAGAACAACAACAAGAACCAAGCCCTCCCTAGAGCACAAGCGTGCCAGGAAGGTGAGCCCCAAGCAAATCCTCATTTCTACACCTCTGTCCTTCCTGCTGCTTGCTGGCACGTGACACCAAGCCAAGCAGTCACCCTGAAATGGGAGCTCCACACCTGGGAGCTCCTGCCTTGCTCCCTCTGTGTCCAGCAGCTGGGATGTGGGAGACGGGTGGCTTGGGCTCTGTCGTGCGGATGGTGGCACAGGAAAAGCCAGAAGATCAGGATCCCTCACTGGAGCCCAGGAGCTGCCAGGTGAGTCACTGCTGTGCTCAGCTGTTCCCTGCTGCCCGTGCCAATGGCCACTCACCCCTCCTGCAGGCTCCTGCACGCCAGCTCCGACTTCACTCCAGCCCAGGCACACAAAACAGAAGCTCTGCTTCTCCACCACGTGCTCACCTGGGCCTCCCCTGCTCCTGCTGCTTTTCCCAGCAGCTGGAGCTCCCTGAAGATGGGCAGTGGTTTTAAACAGGGTGGAACACCATCACAGCAACGTGACCCCAAAGCAGTCCCAGAAATTATCTCCCCTCCAAGACACATTTCCTCCCACAGCAAACAACGGCTGCCAGAGCCCATCCTCACAGGCTTTGCATTCCTAACTTAAAAACACCTTTCCAGCAGTTATTTTTCAAGCCAGGTTTTCCTTACTATTATTACTACTATCCCAGTGCAATCTTTTCTTAGGGAATATTTTCCCCAATTGTATTTGTGCAAACTACCTGTTCATTTGGCAACTGCTAGGGGAACTTAGCAAGCTGGCTGGCCAAACTGATGCTCTCCTGCTAAGAAAATAAAAGCAACTATGCCAAGCCTGGAGCTGCTTGCTGAGCACAAGGCCTGTGTAATTTTGACACCACCTTGGCCATTTTGCTTTTCTTTGTAAGAAATCACCTAGTTTTGAAAAACTCTATAGTCATCTCTAAAAAAATAAGACAAGTATTTGTATTAAAAGCTGGAGATCATTGATTTCAGCAAGTTATGGCTTTTTTTTTTTTCCCTAGTGTAAGCATAGATACATATTTTTAAAAGAAGTTTCAGTAAGTGTCTGGGTGTTAGTACATATTTTCTGTTTCCAGCAATGTTCAGTATTGTATGTGCTTTGCACCTCAGAAGTTGAGTCTGCCAAGGCACTTAGAGAATGTAAGCAAGTCTTCCAGGGACTTCATGAGAATGGGCTACCACTGACACAACACAAGAACCCATCCACCAGCAGAGTCAATCCCCCAACCAAGCACGTTTCCTTGATAAACACTCAGCACCTGCTAGAAATTCCACAATGAATAACAACAGTAAAATAATATTAATAATAAAAAAAAAAGCTATTTACCACATGTCACTAACAGAGAAAAGGTTTCCCCTAATAAAAGCACAGAAAGTAGATCTCAGCTGTCACTGGTAACAGCGGCGGGGGGTTGTTTTGTTGTTTTTTTTAAAAAAAAAAACAAATTAACAAAAAACAAATACCACACGCTCGCTTAAAGAAACAAGTGACTCCAAGAAGTCCTCTTCCTTTTATCTGTCCTTGGAGGTGAGTTTTTCAATCAGTTCTTGAAGTGGTGCAAGTTCTCTTCTATCAATAAGGTTGAATTCCTGCAACAGGGATGAGGAGAGAGAGACACACAGAGAGAGTTTAGTGGGTACAGCTCAGGTGAGAAGCCTCATTTAACCAGAACTCATCTGGCAGTCAGCTCTCCAAGCCCAGGCTCGGCCACTCCATCCTCCCCTGCCCATCTGCCACTCGCTGTGTTCCACTGCCTGAAGCTGTTTCTCCCTCTTAAAGGAAGCAAACCTAAGAAGATGCCGATTTTTCTTCCACAAGGGAAGGGGGATAACGTAGCTTGGAAGCGAGAGAACACCGCCTGCCGTGTCCTCACCTGAACAAAAAATATAAAGTGCTTGAAAGAAGTGTTAAGGTGTGCCTCCTCCTGCAGCTGGATGACCGGGTCGAAGTGCTGGTGGTAGATGTGGGCGTAAACTCTGAAGAGACGCTTGAGAATCGTCTTGGCCACTGACATGAAGTTCTTTGGGAATGGTACACCTGGGGAGAAGGAAACAGAGGGCTTGTTCTTCAACTGCCAGGCCACGTTTGTCTGTTGTGAAAGCCACCACGAGCCAGGGCAGATGGAATCAGTTTCAACAGCACAGGTTTTACTGAAGCTGGCTGGGAAACAGCAAGCGGCTACTGGGAGCCATCATCTCTTCATCTGTCACTTCCCCAGGCTAAAAAAAGACATGTATCAACCCTCTGAAAAGAGGAAACCTGCCTAGCTCCTCCCCACCTCCCAGTCTCCCCAGTCAGCTTAGCTCTTCTGCAGCCTTTCCCAGTGCTCAGGTCCTGCCTGAAGGCCAGGATGCCCTGGGGCCAGTCAGGACCTCAGCAATGCTTTCAGGTCCCACCATGAACCTTCTCATGGTGGCAGTGCTCTCATCTCCTGCTGCAGCCTGCCCTGCACACACATACATGGCATTTCCTCCTCTGGCTGCTGCAGCACACGGGAAATTCACACTTAGCTGGTTAGCTTGTGGCCTCTCTTGGAATCTCTCTCTGTGAAGGCACGGTTTCTCTAAAGAAGCTCAATGAAAACGTGTCAAAAGCCTCAGAAACGGAAATTCACACTTAGCTGGTTAGCTTGTGGCCTCTCTTGGAATTTCTCTCTGAAGGCATGGTTTTTCTAAAGAAGCTCAATAAAAACGTGTCAAAAGCCTCAGAAAATATTTACAAAGTTAAGGCAACTAAGAGATTCCCCCTCCCCGTTATCTCTTCCAAACATCTGGCTGTTCATTATTTCCCTCCTGCTTTTCTGAAAGAAGCCTCTTTAAAAGATCTAATTTTCATCTTCACTTAAAAAAAATCCAAGCAAAAACCTCCTCAACTTAAGATCAAAGCTGCAATTCAGCTTCTTTAGAGATAAGGCCTGAAAGTTCCTCATGACACCCAGATATCCCTTCTGACAAAAAGCTGCCAGTTCCTGGTTATAGGAGTCTGAAACCCTCTGCTGTTATTTCTAAAGAAACAACTCACTGTTCCAAATGAATGCAACACCGGACTCAATGAACAGAACCAGTTATTAATTAGAAATGGTACTTCCTGCACCCAGAATTGTGACAGGTGTTCATCAGGAGCACCAACACAGGGATCAGAGTTCATGCATTACGACATCCCTTCCGAGATAGGTGTGTGCAGACAGATCAGGCAGCCTTCTAAACCCGCCCCACACATCAAGCTGGAGCTGTGCAGGTGTAACCCCGGTGCCCTGCTCAGCTGCAGCTACCCCCTCACCTATTTTAGAGGGAAACAGCGTTTCATCATCCAACTGGTCCTGCACCCAGGTCATCAGGTAATCGATGTACTTCGGCGCCGAGCACTTGATGGGCTTCTTGATGTTGGTGCCGTCTGCCCAGTGGTACTCGTACCTGGGGTGAGACAAGGTGGCCTTCAGCACCAGGGAGCCACTCCTGATGGGCATGCCAGAGGGTGGATCACCTTGGGAAGACATGGCTGAAAAACCTGGCACGGGGAGCCTGGTAATACCAGCACAGGGTTGGTGTGCTACAGACCACGCACTGGTTTGGTTTTAAGCAAAGCTTAGCTGCACCTGATGAATCTGTCCTCTCCATTTGTGAGCAAATTTGGTTTTGTCACAGCAACTGCTGGGAGAATATTTTCACCATGAACAAATTTGATGAGGGATTATGAAGGTGCTGCTCACAACGGGACAAAAAAAAAAAAAAACCCATTTTTCTAACAGCAACAAATCAGAGGGTCTGAAAGCATCTTAAAACTGTATCTAAGAAGACATGCAAATATCCCAGACACACCAGATGGACCATGTGTCTGGATTTATGAAAAAGCAGGATTTCTCACCACCCAGTACTGCCCTAATACCAAGATTTAAGTGGTACTCATGTAGGACAAATATCAACACCTAGCTGAGGTGCCAGGATCAGTCTGGAGCCAGAGCAAAACAACAAACTGAATTAGGGAGCAGGAAAAAGTACAAACACTGGATGTCTCAACAAAAGCATAAAAAAGAATCCAAGAAAGGCACAGGGATTCTTATCCAGACATCTACTATTTTTATAATACCTACAAGGAACATTTTGGTAAGCCCCAATGGAAAGCCTGCATATAAAATGTTTAAACCTTCATTTAAGAAGCTTTCATTAATGTTTTAGAAAAATAAAGATGGGGAAAAAATAATTTTGATAATTAATTTACTTCCCAGGTTAAAGGAAAAAACCGAACACCAAACAAATATGAACACAGACCAAAAAACATCAACTTGCTATTCCCCACCCACTTAACAGAGGTTCAAACCCTTCTTCTCTCTCACATCCTTGCCACCCAACCCTGGCGCTCCTCTCAGCCAGTCTCAAGCTTTTAAATGGAAAATCCTCTCCCAAACTGCAGCCAGTCAGCAGTGTGTGAGAAGCACACTTACTTTGGGCCAGCAGACATCACGGGGCAGCTCTCCTCCGTGCAGAAGTCTGTGATGGTTCCGTAGAGCATGTTGATCTGGTTGAAGAAGTCAACAGCTGGAAAGCATGGAAACCACCCGTTAGCACTCTGCAGCACAGGATTCCTACAGCCCAGACTGTAAAGCACGGCTTCTGGAATGGTTTTGGGGAAAAAAAACTCCATTGTTGCTGCTTATTTAAAGATCCATTATAAAAGAGATGTGGAATGCAACCATCGACTTTCTGGAACAGCCTCCAGCAAGAACTATTTAATTGTTCACTGCAGCAAAACCTTCAGTTGGAAGGAGGAGGAAAGAATGAGAAAATTTAGTCACTTCCTTTCCTGAAAGTTTGGTGCCTTTTATTACAATCCCAAATTCTACTGGCAAGTGTGGAATGCAAGAAAGATTTTCAGCATCAATTTTCCAGCTAGAGAGAGCAGGTGCTCGTTAGGTGACAGTGGCTTCCCTCAGGCTTTGCATTCCCAAGGCCCACCTTCCCCAAAAACATCCCATACAATCCCAGACTGCTTTGGGTGGGCAGGGAATTTCAGGACTGTCCAGTTCCATCCCTGCCATGGGCAGGGACACCTCCTGCTATCTCAGGGCACTCCAAGCCCTGTCCATCCTGGCCTTGGACGCTTCCAGGGATCCAGGGGCAGCCACAGCTTCTCTGGGCAATCTGTGCCAGGGCCTCCCCACCCTCACAGGGAAGGATTTCTTCCTAATAACCCTACAGTTATAGTTACTCTTCCAGTTAATTAGTCCAAACTTTTAGACAAGATTCTTCTTTATTCTGTCACGAGGAACTGTGGTCACTGCAATCAGCTTCTAAAACCCATTTTACCTGTCATTTATCTGCAGCTATTTCTCAGAGGATAAACAGCCAAGATGAGACAAACATCACTGGAGCAAGTCACAGCTACTGCTCAGCAGATGCAGGACACCAGCCCTCGCTTCTCAGGAACTGTTAATTAAGTTTCCATTCCCTGCTCCCAGCAGAAACCACAGCCCACTGTCTGCTTCCAGGCAAGCATGTTCAGAAAACCCACACAGGCTCCCACAGAATGCCTGATTACAGCAAATCCCACACGTGGAAGTCTCAAAATCCACAGGCTCATCAAGTCTTTCCCAAAGACACCAGTCAGGCTGAGCACTGAGGAAGAAGCAGCAGGGCAGAGCACGTTTGGCTTCGTGCTCTCAGGGTCCAGAAGGGCAAAGACTTGCAGTCACACATTTTGTCTCCTGACGAGACCTCTTTGTGATCAGAAGGGGCTCACAGCTACTGCTGGAGCTCGGTGTGGTGCAGGGATGCTGAGGGAAGGGAGCCCCTCACCAGCTCACTCCTTAATTACACAGCTGCAATTGCACTCCAGCTAATTCAGCAGCCAAGTCACTCGGGAAAGGAAGAAGCTGCTGCCATGCAGGAAAGCAGACACACAGAGTGCAGGAACCACCAAAAGGGAAGGATGCCAGCAATACATGAAGCATCTTAAGCAATGCTTACTCACACAAGTGGGCTGGCTTTTTTCTCTGGTCTAGTTTTGCAATGCAGTGTGAATTAAGTGTTGCAAAGGATGGTGTCAGCAATTCCAGCCTGCCCTGGAAGCAGTGGCAAGTGTTGGGAACAGGAAGGTGAGAGTCAGTGGAACAGTTTCACTTCCCAAACATGTCAAAGAGCAAGAAGAAAAAAAGGCAGAACCACAGAAACAACTGGAGGACGTTTAAATCAAGCAGTAATTTGTACTGCAGTGCACAACCAACCCCGTACCACCACTGGAGCACATCAAGAGGTAAGAGGTGACCAAACACCCAGACAGGGCACAGAGCTTGTGGCAGCCAAAAGTGCACAGTGCAAAGGGAGAATCCATTCTTTAGGAGCAGAGGGCAAAACTCATGCAGCAAGGAGAGGGAGGAGGAGGAAACAAGGTCAAGCAATCAGAAAACGCTAATTCAGGCATCATTGTTTGGCTGAAAGCAGAGTCTGGACAAACAGCTTTAGAGGAAGTTAAAAGTATGACATCAGAGGCTTACCAGAGCAAAGGCTCAAAACTTGGTAGGAACTAACTTTAGGAAAATTACAAACCCCAACAGAATCACAGAACCATTCAGGCTGGAAAAAGGCCTCTGAGATGATCAAGTCCAACCTGTGGCTGCTCCCCACCCCCTGACAGCCACGTCCAGCTGTCCCCTGGAGATGGGATGGGAACTCCAACACCTCCAATGCTGGACAACGTTTTCCATGAAGGACTTCTTCCTGATGTCCAGCCTGAACCTTGAGGCTGTTTGTAGTCACCCTGCCCGTTCCCTGGGAGCAAAGCCTCACCTGGCTGCACCCTCCTGCCAGGAAGTTGTAGAGAGCAAGGTCCCCCAGCTTCCCTTTTCTCCAGGAAGAGAAAGGGACACACAGCTGTCCTGCCCCAAGTGCCAGCCCACTTCCAAGACCCCAGTGATGAAGAAAAGGCCAGTGACTCACTGTTAACTGCCACCCATTCATTTAGGTCCTCCCCCTCTGGAAGCATCACAGCCATCCGCAGGTTGCCGCTTCCCAGCGTGGCCTCGGCATGTTTCAGCAGCTCGTACTGGTGAGACCCCTCGGGAATATTCTTCTTTGGTTTGAAGGTCTTGGAAGAGCGACTGCCACTGCAAGAGAGAGAGGAAGTATTTAGAGACCTTTGGGAACAGGAAGCAAAGAGGAAACAAGCAGATTGGTCCCAGGTAAGGACAGGATGAACATTAAATACTTTACCCACTCATGTATCTTCATGCTGCAACAGGGTATTTACCAAAAACTGGGATGCTAAACTAGCAGGTATTCTGACTTGTTTTAAACCATTTTCTGACCTAATCACTTCCTTACCTAAAATTTTGTTTGGAAGAACATGTACTGGCTTAGGAAAGACGTTTAGGTATTTGAATTTTAAACCACGGCAGTAAGCATGGATGGCACGTGATGGCAGCCCTAACATGTCAGAAATGTGACATGTAGAATTAAATATTTGCAGGGAAGTGTCAAATGAGTCAGTATTTCTGAGTATTTCCGTGTATGAGCTGAGAGAAGACTTCTGTCAGAAGGGGCAAAGTGAGCTCTGAATTCCAATGCAAGTGGAAAGCTGTGAAACCCAGACAGCAGAATTCTCATCACAAATACTATCCAGACATTATTCCTTTATATAAAGACTTGGCCAATGTTTCACCAACTCTTTAAGGACTGAACAGAATTTTTTACTGGTGGAGTGCAAGGGCTCTCTCTCTTTATTCGAGGCCCTGGCACAGGTGCCCAGGGAAGCTGTGGTTGCCCCTGGATCCCTGGAAGTGTCCAAGGCCAGGCTGGAGCGAGTTTGGAGAAACCTGGGCTAGAGGAAGGTGTCCCTGTTTGTGGCAGGGGTTTGGAATGAGATGAGCTTTGAGGCTGCTTCTAACACAAACCATCCTGGGATTCTGCACCAGTGCAGCCTCCTGCTAAATGCAACCAGGAGCCAGAAGGAGAAGGAGGGAACATCCTGCTCCCATCTGTTCTGTTACAGGACACTTCTAGCTGCTCCTAGTCATCTGCACCTCACCCTAAGCCAGGATACCAGACATAAATCCTGAATTAAATAATTGCCTCCCAGTGGGAGTGAGAAGCTTCTGTGGCTCAGGGAGTTGCTGTCACCTCCCACCCCTCCAGCCACCTGCATCTGGTGCCAGGCCAGACTCAAACCAGCTCTGAACAAAGAAGAAACTGAAAAAAAACCCCAAGGAACAAAAAGCCCAAATCTCTCGACTGAGTACTTTACTTAAATCCAATTATTGTCTTTTCAGGAGCACGGCCACTTCAGGGGCACTTTGCCAACATGAGGAGTGAAAATACAACCTAAAACATCTGGAGAGCAGAAGAGACTGGGATCACTATCTATCCACATGTGTCAGCATAAGCAGAAGGAACCCAGCACAAGTTAAATACAACCTGGAAAAAGGTTATGAAATAACTAACCCAAGTAATTATTGTTTGTGTTTTAGCACAAAGACTAAGCTCAACAAAGGGATGAGGGTTTGGGAATAGGGCATTTTGGGAAATGGTGAAGGATTTCCCTAAGTAAGCAGTTTGTTCTGGGAAACTCTAGGTAGGAATTCCTGCTGAATACCCTGCACAGGTCCATGGTCAAGGAAGCAGAAAATGCAACATGTTGGAAAAAGCTTTAGGTAGCATTTAATCCCTGCTCCCCCCTTCCCAGAAACAGGGGGGCTCTTCCCATAAGCTGCCAAAGGCTGTAACAACAGAATGAAGTACTGCTCTAATGGAGCCCTTCCATCTTTGCCTCCAACACCTTTCTGATCCCTGCTTCTCAAATGCAGCACAGCCACCCTAAGCCAGCAGGAAATGGTCTCACAGGCAAGGCAGGCAGGCATCCAAAAGGAAAAGTCATTAGGATAACTGCAGCCCGGCTGCCGTCGCATGCTATGGAAATATCTGCAATTTTGGCAATAAATTATCAGGATTCCATGCATTTATGCAGTTCACCCAAGGCAGTTAACACACCCCCTGAGATACTGCTCAGGGACACCCTAATGCAGCCTCTATCTTCACAGGATGTGGTTTTTCTTGGAAAGTTTGGTTAAAAATATTGCATTACTAAACAGTACTCCAATTACCTTATTAGTCCAGAAGCTCTCCTGCCATTTAACCAAAAAAATAATGACTTTTTCCTATTATGCTGATCTGTTTCACGTGACAGACTCTGAAAGCTGTCTTGACCCAGCTCTATTCCCCCAACTCCTTGAGCAATCAGTGAAAAAAGTAACTTTAGAGAGTTCTGCCTGGTGGCCAACAATACACACCATCATTCACGTCTGGGTCATGCGGGACACTCTATTTTCAGCCACATTCCATCGTGGAATCACTCGTTTCTGTCGAGGTTTAAAAATGCCTTAAGCAGTGATGCAGCACCTGCCTTCTCCTGCTCAGACTCTCTGAGCTCTCCTTCACATTAAGGCAGAAGTGAGAGGGGACAGAGAAGATGAAGATCCCATTTTCCTCGGGCATAAGGAAGCCCCAAAACACGGAGCCAGGTTGCACCATCCCCTCTACGCGCCACAACCAATACGCAGCCTCCCAAGGAGAAGGGACTTCTCAAGGAATTCCAAGGATGCTTTGCTCCCTTCCCTGCCACCCGTGCCATTCCTAGCAAACCATTACTGCCTTGTGTTTCTGCAGGGAGCTGTGTGCAGGGCTCGGCAAGCCCTTCCCACCAGCAGCAGCCCAGTCACAAGCAGGAACACCACATTTCCTCCAAAGCTGCCACTCGTCTGCTGGCAGGGGGTGGGTTTTGTGATGCACGTTCTGCAGGGTGCTCTGTCTCAGGCCGGGAAGGGGATGTTTCCAGAAGAAAGGAAAAATGTGAGGTGTTCTGCTCACCTCCAAACAGCTCATCTCAGCTTCAAAGGCAGCACTGGCAGATGTCCTGTGCTCAAAGCAGCTTAAACACCCAGCCTGAGCTCTTGATGAACTTCCCAGTAAGTGCTCCCAGGAGAAGCCCTTGGGCTGGCCTCACTCCCAACCATTTGTCCACAGACCCCCTCAGAAGGGATTTTTATCCATTTCCACCAAGTCTGCTGCAGGTTTCTGAATTAAACCAGGCAAGTTTAGGCTCTTTATCCATAAATAAAGCTATCCCATCACAGCTTGCTCTCAGCACAGAACTAACCTCGGGCCCTGACCTGCTGTGCAGTGGCAGCATTTTCAGCACACACCTGCCACCTACGTTCCTCTGATTGCTCCCTAGTGCTGAGGCCCCCTTCCTTGGGATAAGGAGTGACTGACTAACTCCTGGAAGCACAGCTGTTCCACTCAGTGTCCCCCCAAAGCCATCACCACCACAGCCTGGCTGAAATGAGCCCTTCAAAGTACTTGGAAAAGCTCAAGAGATCCTCAAAAAGCTGAACTCAGGACCGTGCACAGAACATTTACGCAGGGCATGGAAGCTTTTCCTATTTTAACTCCTGCTTTTTCATCTTCAAGCGCCTTCAGAAGCATCAATTAATCCTCCCAAAGCACCTTTGAAGCAGGGATCATTAGTGTCTCATTACACAGGGAAACTGAGGCAGCAACTCACTGCCACAGGCACATGAGTGAGTTTATCCAAAAATCCCCCAAGTTTTAGCTCTGTGCTTCTTTGTCTCCCTTCTCCTGCTGTGCCTCTTTTTAAACACAGAAACACTCTAAGACAAGACCTGAATTCCAGAAAAGCAAACATTTCCAGCCTTTAAACAATAATACAGGCCTTCAAATGATAACATCCTGCTAAGAATAGAAACATCAGAGTGAGAGAGGTTTGTTTCCACCAGCCAACACGTCAACATAGAAACTAAAATAAAAGCTCGAGCTACTTTTTGACAATGAAATCAATAGCTGCAGCCTACAAAAACGTTTTCCCTGTGACAACCACAGCATTAGAAGGACAGCAGGTAAAATTAAGCTGAACAAGTTCAAAATCTGCACTGATGAGATTGAACTTGACCATTGCTATTTATAAAACTGAATAACCACAACATTTCTGTTGTCAAGAGAGACACTGTGAGCGCAAAGCATTGCTTCCTTCAGTTCCTACAGCACCAAAAAGCCAGCTTTTTCCAATCCAATTCCCATTCACTGCAGTAAGCCAGTCTCAGTGCAGCCACTTGAACCTGCAGGTAACAAAAGCAAGGCAAGAATTCAGGATGCATTCCATGCAGCAGCTAGGAGCTGCCAGCTCCTTACACAACACAGCTGCTCTCCCAGAGGGTCAGGCGATGGTTTGAAAGCCATTCCAGGCCTAGAGATTTTGTTTTGCTTTAAGGAGGAATCTGCTGTCATATTATTGCAAAAGTTCCATACTGTTGTCTCCTTATCACAAAAGTTTCATACCTCCTTGGTGGTTTCACAGGCAGCTCCTCAGAGAATCGACTTCCCAACCAGCCAAGCCACTCTTTTCCAGCACTCTTCTTCTCACTGGTCACAGCTGTGGCCTGTTAAAGTCAGGCCTGCTCCTAATTGTTAGTAACTGACCCAGCTGCAACTCCTTAGGGATGAAATTACTTTCTGCACTATCTTTTTTTTTCTTATATTCTATCCCCCCACAGGAATCAGTGGCACCAATTGAAAAACTTCCCCAGATCCATAGGTTCCTATGGTCATTCCTATAGGAACAGAATACACAGGGCTCATTGCTTATTAGCTACACCACAGTGTAACTTCAATTCTCTGTAGCCTGTTGAATCTGAAGAGGCTTCTCAAAAGGGGTATGGAATTTCCTCCTTCCACTGACAGGGAAATCGGTGTTTCCGTGAAATTTTTCCTTCTCTGCCCATCAAGGTGGGGGACTGAAACCTGGCCTCCCCTTCTAGGAAAAAAAGCTGTCTTCAAAGACTGGGCATCCCTAGAGGATGGCAGATGAAAAAGGCACAATCTCATGAACAGCTCTTAAGGAACACATGTTCCATTATGCACAAGACTTGACACGTTAAAAGAGCAGCCGTTTATCAGATGATTCACATGCAGGAAAGAGAAAGTTATTTAAGGTAGCCTGAAGGAACAGTTTTGCTTTTGCTTGCCCCAGCCACCACCCCTCAGTGTCAAAGCCGACATAACCCTTACACACCAACATTCTTAAAATGCCTTTTTT